TGATTTACACCACCACATCAAGCTGCCATAGCAAAAAGCAGAAAAAAAAAAAAGGATTTGTAAATGAAGTGACAACCATGGGTGATTTACACCACCACATCAAGCTTCCATGGCAAGAAAAAAAAAGAAAAGAAGATGTCAACCTGTTTATTTACACAACATGGTAGATACCCCATAAACTATAGAAGAGATGCATTTCATGCTCCTCATGAGTACTGCAGTACTGCCCAAGGGGGAAGAAAGGGAGCATTTTGTTAATTAACTGAAAATTAGCTAGCTTTTTAGTACCTTAAATAAAGTGTTAAGATAATTTTTATAAAGTTTTATTATTATTATTATTATTTTTGAGCTTTATATCCAAGAAGACCATACTATTGTACCAGACTTAGGTTTTGCATTGAATGCATGTATCATTTTTGGGAAAAGAGAATCACACTTTCATTGCTTTTACTTAGTTCAATGGATTTGTTTTTGTGGTCACATCAGTTTGCGTTTCTTGTGGAAACAACCAAACAATTTAGATTCTGCTGGCATGTTGGTACTTAGTGCTGAACTTTCTGTTGACAGTATTAGTTCTTTACATGCTTTGCTTGGTCTTGCAGGTGCCCAGCTTGCAGAAATTACAAGGTATGTACTATGCTGAATGTTGTGTTTAGCATCATAAATTAATGTTTTCTTATGTTTCTTATTACTTGAGCTACAACTTTGCAGCTCCATTACGAAAAGGTAGCAAGACTTTTCAATGGACCTGAAGCAGTTCATCCAGGGATTATATTGATGACAAGGGTAGACTGTGCATTGAAGGTATTGTTGCTATGCTTTCTTGATATTTCCTTCTTAAGTGGTGGTATTCTTTTATTGGTCATCATATTACTGAAATCACCTTTTAGTTTCTCATTGTACGTCTCTAAGACCTTGTGTAAGCGTGAGCCTTGTGTATTGGGTATGACTAAACAATCACATAAATAAGTATAAACTGTTCTAAACTAAAAAACAAGCATCTTAGGAGGGTTGATTTGTTCAATCAAGCAGTTCAGGGTATGATGTAGGGTGACTTTATTAAACTTGGATTAACCAAGTACAATTTTTTTTTTTTTGGTGGGTTTATGTCAAGGAAAGCTTTTGGTGTCAGCGTGCCATTAGGTAAAAGAAATTTTGAAAGTTTTTATCTCAGTAAGATTGAAATCAACTCAATTCAGGAAGTTTATAGTTGCCTGATATTTAGAACATAGGTTATGGAATTCTCTAAACAACAAAGCTTTTAAGGGTTTTAGGTGTGGAATAAATTGCCATAGGGAAGGAGAAAAGGTTGATGATTTGGGCATTGATTGGGTATGGTTTTGTAGTTGGAATTGGGCCTGTTCCAAGATTGAGGACAAAGTTCGCCGATAATAGGATTTCATAGCTTTGTAAGGAAGAAGGAGAAGAAGAACAAATAATATAGTAATTTTACCTAGAATTCCTTAGGAGCTACCTCTTAGGTGCTGTTCAGTTGTTGGGAATTTAATGTGGGAAGGTTTTTCTCAGGCAATATGCAGTGGAGTGAAGTGAAGGAAAAGAAAATTATTTTTCCGCTTGTGTTCACTTGTTAGGAAAAGAAAAGTTATTTTAGTTTTGTGCTGAATCTTTTGTTTTTTGCAGGATCAGTTTTGAGAGAAACTATATCTAGTGGGAAAGTTGGAGATGTAGGTCCCACAACTTTCTTGCTAATTGAACATGAAAAAAAATGCCGGAAAGTTGATTTCTCATCCTTTACTACACTTTCCCATCAATTGAATGGAGCTGTAAGGTTGTATAATACATTACAAAAAAACTTCATGCAAAATTTCAAGAATTCAACTCCATTGAAGAATTCAACTTCACAATTTAAAATATTGAGAAAAATTCATTTTACCCTCCTGTGATATAGTCCTGGGGCACTTTAGCCATGTCTTTTAAAAATAGTCAAATACCCAAACACCCTACGTGGTTTTACGCTAAAGTGCTATTGTTAGATTTTCTATCCAAATAGACAAAAATGGTGCCACATGCCCTTCTTTTGAGAGTTGGGGGAGAAAAAAAATTGTAAGTCGAATTCTAATATGGAAAGACAAAATTGCCCTGGCCTTCATCTTCTACCTAAGTCATGTGAAAACCCTAGTAATCCTAACCTTAACCCACTCACCACCTCCACCCACCCCTTCCTACCACCTCCAGGCTCCAGCCATGTCCTTACCACCTCCAGCCACCTTCTCCTCCCTAGCCTCTGTTGCCACCCCCTCACCCCTCCCCAACTTCCCTAGTGCAATTAGAGAGGATGAGAGAGCTCGTGAAAGAGGGAGGACCCAAGACGTGGTGAGCATCCATGGGCATGAGTCCTGACTAAGTTTCAGTACAATTTTTTCGTGAATTTGTTAATCTTTTGAATCAGTCTATTATACCCTCTTATTATTATTACTATTATTATTTTTATATATAGCATACATTGAAACCCACTCTTTTTGACATGTGTGGCTTAGTAATTACTTCCTCTTCTTTTCAATTGTTTGGCAGCACAGACAAATAATGAACTTTGCAAAAGGTTCTCCGTTGATCGTTATCCCATGCTTTTGTGGGGCCTTCCTTCTAAATTTGTTGCTGGTGGTTGGGAGCCTAAACAAGACAAAAATGAGATACATTCTATTGATGATGGACGAACCGCTGATCGCTTGCTTAACTGGATTAACAAGAAAATGGGCAGGCATGTACTATCTTTACTTATTTATTTCTAACATATGTTACTGCATGATTTCCAAACGTTAGTTATGTTGATCTTAGAGTAATATCAATTTCCCCCCCTCCTTTTTTAGGTTTTCTTTTTCTCGATGAAATTGTTCATTAATAATTAGAAAGTACTGTAGCACTTTCATACCTTAAGGAGCTCGTGTTTCTATTGATAGACAATGTTGGTCTCTCCAGGAAAGTAGTTTGCATGGTTCTTGGTTTTTACAAAACATAAATTAATAATCATGAAATGAAATATAATTATGGGAAGAAACAAAAATAATAACTTTAGTGTAATGGAAGAAATAATTAAGTGCTGATGTGTTTTTGATTAAGTAGATTCAATTCTTGAATTTATTTTTTTCTGGAAGGTGATTGTAATTTTCGCTGAAGCATTAGAACTTGTGCAAAAGTTGCGTTGAAATTGCAAACTCTGTATTCTGTTGTCAAAAAGGTATCCGATGCCAAATAGAGGAAAGAGATAACAAAAAGGACTAGCTTCAGTGCAGAGGTGCAAGCTCTATGGATACTAGAGAGTGATTGCATTCTTATTGATGCCACAACTGTGACTTTTCAGCTCCTCAGAATGAGTCTATTTCACAAGATAGAAGCTATATATGTTGCCATGAATGGTGTAGTGGCTTGCTTCTACTCATGATGTTGCGAAGTTAGAGCACCAGTCAGATGCTACACTACCGTTATTGGTGCTGTCTGCTGTGAATGGACTTCATATTATCTTCTGTCAAGCTTATAAAACTGTGGGTGCTTACTATGTGACATACTGATTATATTTTTAAATATTATATTGATGAATTTCCTTTGAGGTAAGGTAACTAAACAATGGACTCTTTATTTAATGAGGTCAGTTATATATTTCTGTAACAATTCAAGTTTGACAGCTGAATTTTAAGCTTTAACAGCCGATTCTATTAATGTTGAATCCCTATCTATTTGGTCAATTTTCCCACTTCCTACCCACCCAAAACTATAAATAGAAAAAGAGAATCTGTTTTTGTAAGCGAGACAAATTCGAATGGGTCAAGTAAATCTTTGATCAGCCCACTTAACCTCTAGCCAATGCCATGTAACCAAAACTGGAAGCCTACTAGCCATGGGAACCTTCAATTCAACTAAAGCCCCATTCTGAAATCCCAGTAGGGTTCGAATGACTTGATATTGAAAACCTACAAGGTTACGTGAACAAAAGTTATTGATTAAAGAGTTCCCACTTAGTTTTAGGTTCCAATAAATCATATCCTCGTATGATTCCTTGTCACTCCATCACTAGAGAAACTAATTTGGGGATTAAGATATCAGGTGGGAAGGGGTTCAACCTAATTGATAAAGTCAGAGTTCATAAAATTAATTTCAAGAATGGAACTTAAGTGTCACCTGATGTGAGTTTGTGTAGCCACAATAATGAATTGGATCAAGTTTGTTTTAGATTGATTTTAACAACCATACGATTCTGTTTGACAAAGCTATTAAGTTGGATTGTTTGGATTATAGCTTCAAAAAACTCGTGGACAGTGTTTGGTTACATTCAACTTGTAGAGTTTAATCAAAATCTTCCAAGCTACACGGGGGGTGCTTTTGCAGCTTAGCCTTTTTAGCTTTTGGATGTTGGACAAAAGGTCGCCTCAATATTTTCATATTTACAGGCATACCTTTTAAAGAATAGTTAGGTTAAAAAATCTATAGGTACTTTGGACTTTACACTTAAAAAGCTACTTTTAGGATTATTTATGGAACACTTGCATTTCACATATCATCCAGAATGCTGCACAAAACACTTCTAACTTTATTCAAATCACTTTAAGTCAATAAACTAAAAGGCTAATTTTTAAAATGTTCATGCACATCTATTTTTATATCTGAATATTAAAGTCCAGTACAAGTGTTTATATTCCATATTAGCTCTTGTGGTAGTCGATGTGAGTAATTTAATCCTTTTGTACTCTTCCATTCAATCTTGTGGTAATTGATCAGTTATTATCATAAAGCGAGAAGTAGTTATGATAGTCTTGGTTGCATAAGAAAACCTGTCGTAGTTTAATGACAAAACAACCTTCTTGATAGTCTTGGTACTAGACAACGCAATAGTTTCTCTGTCTACTGAAACAAATTGGAAAGAAGTATTATCATGTTAAAAAAAAAGGGAACGAAGTTTTCATCCTTAAGGTGGGGTTTTTAGCTTTCCCATGATAGAGGTCTAGAGTGCTTTTCTTTATATCTTTATTACAATGGATATGTTAGCTCATTCTATAATATCCATTAGGGGTTGGAGGACAGAGTGGGTTAAAGCTGCCTACGTACGATACATATAGTATATATACATATATACAACATGCATGTGCACATGTGCGTGCACAAACTCACCGAGAGAGAGAGAGAGAGAGAGAGCTCCATTAAGTGTTTGATAGCTCCATTAAGCTGCATGTTTGACATTGACTTGTATCTTAAATTTAGGGGTAAAATTTAATTTTCAATTATAGGCTTAATCAAACATGGTTGATTGCCATTATTTTGCTGCCTTCACATGTTCTTTTTAGGTGACAAAGAAGAAGCTTTCTCAATGTTAAGTCTTTGATGCTTATTAAGTGAGCCTTTATATATTATCTATGTCTATGGTTTTTCTTCTTCTTTTAGGACATGTGGCACCCTCCTATTCATTTGGAGAAGTTATGAAATGTGGAAAGATGATGGAAAACAAAGTGGAAAACATGGAGCATGAAGTGGAGGTTAAAAGAAATTCTGGAAGATCATGGAGTATGAAATGGAGGAGGTAAAAGAGTGGGTAGCTTTAGGTAGTTTTTTTTACAAATGTTTGCCTATAAATAGCCATTTATGGCTACATTCTCCAACGGTAATATGCATTTTACCTATCTAAATATTACTATAAAGTATACATTTTATTTTGCCTGTCAACGATTTCATGTTTCTACCCCAACCATGCTCTTTATTTTAGCTATTCATCCAAATACTATTAACTTTATAGAATGCCACGTCAGCAACAAAGATGGAGGGAAATAATCTTAATGATTAAATACATTTTGCCTAGCCTTGAAGGCTAGCTACATGTAGCTAGTGAATGTGAGCTGAGCCAAAATGCCTAAGCATATGCCTAGTGCATTGGAGTTGAAAAAAGTGGATCACATTAGGCATTTTGACTAACAAGCATCATATGCCTAGTGGGTTGGAGATGCTCTAAGGAGAGACTTGGGTAGAATGATAGAGAGGAACAGGTATGAAACTGCACAAAAATGCATGGGAAATAAGTTTTCACAAGGTAATACAAAATTATGGTAACACAATTATTTCCTAAAGTATTTTCCTGTGTTCTAAAATGTCCTCATGGAAAAGAAGAGCCTATTTTTTAGATTAAAGAGTAGATTTTGTCTTTCTTGTATGGTTGGGGGTGGTCAATCTATCCTAGAACCAATTTTTGACTTTGTAGAAGCCTTTGAATAGGTTTTTGATGTATAGTTGGGATAGAGTTTCTTTGTATTGCACCCCCCTCTGCCTCATTAATATAATTTTCTTTATTTTACCCGGAAAAAAAATTGTTTAGCATCCTTACGAGACAGCATGATAAGCATCTATTTCCGGAACATTAAAAATAAATCACTGGTTCATCTGATGGAAATGGGAAGTTTTCCCTTTTCGAGAAGGCACTATGAAGTAAATGGAAGAGTCCAACCAACAAGATTTATCAAATGGTAATGAAGCTTGCCATTCGGTCTGTTTGGCTATGCTGGAAATCTCAATCAATCTCACTCTCAATTGAACTTGCCTCTTAAACAGTGAGAAGCTCATGTAGAACTAAGAGAATAATTGGTTTAGTAGTGAAATCAACCAATCAATAGCTTGCTCAAACAGGGACATGGAAAGAAGCCTAACTGTAAAACAAGTTGAGAGAGAGTTGAGAGAGTGATATTGAAAGAGAACTCTGTAATTGAAACTATATTCAGAAACCAAATAGAGGCTCCATAATATAGGAGCTGGATACAAAACATCATTATGATATAATTCAATATAATAAGGAAAAGGAGGCCGAAAGAAGGCGGGCGACCGAAAGCAGGGACAAAGAATGACAAAGAATCCTATCTATCTAGATGTATGACCATTATATACATACTATAATATATTAACAATTATATTAATATGTTAACAGCCCCCCTCAAACTCAAGGAGGACAAACATCAACCAACTGGAGTTTGGAGACAAGTTCAACAAAGCGGCCAGGAGAATGAGCTTTGGTGAAGATATCAGCCGGTTGATCAGCAGAGGAGATTGGATGGAGATGGACAGTACCACGAGTGACGTGTTGACGAATAAAATGACAGTCAATCTCAATGTGCTTGGTGCGATCATGAAAAACATCATTGTGAGCAATTTGAAGAGCACTTTGATTGTCACAAAAAAGGGCAGTAGCGCCAGAGGGGGAAACACCCATGTCAGCAAGAAGCCAACGAAGCCAGAGAAGCTCCTGAGTAGTATCAGCAAGAGCACGATATTCGGCCTCGGTACTGGAGTGAGCAGTAAGAGATTGTTTCTTGCTGCGCCAAGAAATAAGAGAATCACCCAAGAAAAAGCAGAACCCAGTAGTAGAGCACCGATCAGTAGGATTCCCAGCCCAATCAACATCGAAAAAAGCACGAAGCTGGAGAGAGGAGCGGGCGGAATAATGAAGTCCATGAAACAAGGTACCTTTGAGATAACGAAGGATACGAACTAATGCAGCATAATGAGGGGTACGAGGAGCTGACATAAACTGGCTAACAATATGAACGGCATAGACAATATCAGGATGAGTAACAGTGAGATAGACAAGGCTGCCAACCAGCTGACGATATAGGGTAGCATCAGAGAGAAGAGTGCCATCAAGA